CATCGTTGTATTTTTACTCAGTTGTATATAGCATTTGTATTTGTATTCTATTTTTATCTTATTGTATATTTATTTTATTTTATTCTACTGTATATAGTATTTTATTTTATTCTACTGTATATAGTATCTTATTTATTCTATTCTGTACAGTTGTGTACTGTATTTATTCTTATTGTATCCAAATTTTTGCCTCATAACTTTTGCACTGTCCACTTCCTGCTGTGACAAAACAAATTTCCCACGTGTGGGACTAATAAAGGTTATCTTATCTTATCTTATCTTATGTTGGAATACTGTCCTGTGGCCCAGTATCTGAAAGGAGGTGATCATGCTCTGCTTCAGTATGTCAAGGTACATGTTGGCATTCATGGTTTCCTCAATTAACTGTAGCTCCCTAGTGCCAGGAGCACTCATACAGCCCCAAACAATGACATCCCACCACCATGCTTGACTGTAGGCAAGACACACTTGTCTTTGTACTCCTTACCTAGTTGCTGCCACAGACCCTTGACACCATCTGAACTAAAAGGTTTATCTTGGTCTTATCAGGCCACAGGTAATCCATGTCCTTACTCTGCCTGTCTTTAGCAAACTGTCTGCAGGCTTTCTTGTGCATTATGTTTGGAAGAGGCTTACTTCTGGGACAACAGCCATTTGATGCAGTGTGTGGCGTATTTTCTGAGCACTGGCAGGCTTACCCTCCACATCTTCAACCTTTGCAGCAATGCTGGCAGCACTCATACATCTATTTTTAAAAGACAACCTCTGGATATGACACTGAGCACGTGCATTCACCTTCTTTGGTCGACCATAGCAAGGTTTGTTCTGAGTGGAACCTGTCCTATTAAACTGCTGTATGGTCTTGACCACCGTGCTGCAGGTCAGTTTCAGAGTGTTGGCAATATTCTTATAGCCTAGGCCATCTTTATGTATAGTAACAGTTCTTTTTTTCCAGATCATCAGAGAATTCTTTGTCATTATGTGCCATGTTAGACTTCCAGTGACCAGTATGAGAGAGTGTAAGAGCAATAACACCAAATTCAACACACCTGTTCCCCATTTGCATGTGAGACCTTGTAAAATTAAACAGGGAGAGAAATGGCTAATTGGGCAAAATTTGGACATTTTCACTTAGTGGTGTACTCACTTTTGTTGCCAGCAGTTTAGGCAATAATGGCGGTGTGTTGCGGTATTTAGAGGGGACAACACATTTACACTGTTATACAAGCTGCACATTGACTACATTGTATTAGAGTGTCAAATCTTCAATGTTGTCCCATGAAAGGATATAACAAAATATTTACAAAAATTTGATGGGTGTACTCACTTTTGTGAGATACTACAGTGGCAATTTTTTTCCCTCTGGAAGTCAACCATAATCTCTTTTGTTTTGTTTTTTCGTTTTGCTGACATTCAGATGCAGGGGATTGCCTCCAGACCACTACCCAAACTACTTCATCAGCTCCCTGTAGTTTGACTGCTGCCGACCTTTAATACACCCAGTTGCTTACATAGAACTTGATAGAACAGGTGGCATGTTTCACTGCTGTACTAGGCATGTTTCACTGCTGTACTGCTGTACTAGGTGTACAAGATAAAAATGGAGATAGGACTGTGCCCTGTGGTGCCCCAGTATTACAAACCATGTCAGACAGAGTCAAAACAAGTGGCTTTTATTGTCATTTCAACCATGTACAGTGGTACACTACAGAGTGAAATGAGACAGCCTTCCTCCAAGCCCCTGGTGCTACATATGACATATAACGGACAAACACAGGACTACAGGGTTGAAAGAGTAACTTTTCGCTGTTCTGATTAGAATTGAATGTTTGTGGCAGGAGGTCAGGACCACTGTGACTTTATACTACCACAACAAGCTCCAAGACTGAGAGAATAATCACCTTCTTGATGTTTCCTCCAGAGATATGTGATTTGGTACTTTTGTGATCTGGCGCAGATTGGTTGGTTTTAGTGTGATTTCAACATTAATTTAGAAAATATCTGGGGCACTTTGAAAATGAAAGATTGGTTTGGTAAACAAACAAGTTTGAAATAACTCAAAACATGTTTTATATTTTAGATTCTTCAAAACTATCCACCCTTTGCTTTGATTACTGCTTTGCACACTCTTGGCATTCTCTCGATGAGGTTCATGAGGTGGTCACCTTAAATGGTTGTAAAACAGTCTTGAACGAGTTCCCAGAGATGCTGAGCACTTGTTGGCCCTCTTACCCTCACTCTGCGGTCCATCACATCCTAAATCATCTCTGGGTTTAGGTCAGGTGACTGTGGAGGCTAGGCCATCTGGTGCAGCACTCCATCAGAATCAGAATCAGAATCAGAATCGTGTTTATTGGCCAAGTATATGTGCAG